TATATATATATATATATATATGTATATCTACTATCATATATTACTATTTTAGAGAAAAAGAGCTACTAAATAAAAGCGGGGGGTGAATTAACAAAAATTAAACTATAGATTTAATAAAAGAGATTTCCTTTAAAGATAAAGAAGTACATAAAATAATGGAGGCCAACGAAGTATGATTTAGTAGAATCCAGGAATAATTCAGTAAGACAAATTAGCTATGATTAACACACCTGTTGATTTAGAAACATGTGCATAAACTATTACATTTAATCATCCTCCCAGAGACCTTCCGAGGGAACTTTGTTTACAGATGGTTCAGAGGCTGCTTTCAGCTTAATTCCCTCTGGATGAGCACAGTTGAGTCTACCTTGACGAAGTTTTCCTCTGTATCCAGGTCAATGGAGATGTTTGCATTTCCCTATAAAGTATCTTCTAGTCCAAGCACAGACAGACCTCAGGGGAACTCCTAATGTTGCCTAGTGAATGCTTTCAATTTACATGAGCACAGACATGTGACATCTGCCAATCACATTGTTATTAGGCAGGATCACTGCTTATCAGCATCACAAAAACACGTGGCCAACCTTGTACAGAAACAGCCTAAATCTTGAACTCTCAAATTTTGTAAGAATCCAAGAAAGTGATTGAGATAGTTGAGAGAAAAGCTATGTTTTATTATTAGTCTATCCATAATGAGCTGGCCTTTCCATATATAGAAGACTGGCGACTTATCAGAAAGAAAAAAGCAAAGCAAAGCAAAGCAAAAGAACAGAAGGATGGGCCTGATAAAACAGAATCAAGCTCTTACAGGTGCTACTAAACCCTGTAGTGGGTTAAATGTGTGAGTGAGCCCCTGGCTTCTGTCACTGAGAGAGGCAGCTGGCAAGGGGGAGGCGCCCAGCTGGGGACACCAGAGGCCACTGTTTTGCACCTGCAGCTAGCAGGTCAGTGCTGGAGGAGCCCAGGCATGTGGCTCTCTGTCCAAGTCCAAATTATTTCATCAGATGGCTATTTCTCAATTTCCTTTAGTGTTTTTTCCATCTGTTTACTCTCTCTTGCTCTCCAGCAGTTCTTCCATCATTGCTGTAAAACACATTCTATTTGGCAAGTCTTTTTTGTTCAGATTGAGTTAGAGATGGGATGACTTCCAATTTTTTAAGCAGTGCCCAGCTTTTCACAACACATTCAGGTGGGCTTATTCTGATGTCCTTTAGCGATGGCCTAAAGACCTCCTACTTTGAAATTCCTTTGTCATTATATACAGGATCCAGAGCAAATCTTTGGGCTCATTTTTTCCTCCTCTGTCAATTATGAAAGCTCTTCTGATATATGGGTTTCTAGAGTAGAGAAACCAAGGCTGAAACTACAAACTAAGGCTAGTGTTTTCTAGAACCAGAGAAACTACCAATTTATATCTTATTAAAACACAAATTCTCATACACGCAAATGTGCACACACACACACACATACGCATACACTCACGCTGCAATATGTTATGGTAGGGTTGTCAACCTCAGTATTACAATAGTTAGCTAGATAATTCTTGGTTATAGAGGGCTGTCCTGTGTATTGCAGGATGTTTAGCAATGTTTCTGACCTCTACTCACTAAGTGTCAGTAGCAACCCCTTCTCAAGTTTGCAACAACCAAAAATGATTCCAGATGATGGGGGGGCAAAATCACCCTGGTTGAGAACCACAGGCACTCCAAACAGGGGGAATGGCATGGGTGGATGCAGAAATAAACACTGCAGTACTAGTAACAATACTTACTCTCAGTGCCTGCCGATTAGAGGCAGGAGCAGAGTAAAGGTTGCCTTTCCGTTAGTGTATAAAATGACAGACCAGAAGCCTATGGGTTTAATTGAATATGTTTTTGTATTTTAATTCCCTAGCCCTACAAAAACGTTACAAAGGCATAATTATATCTTGTTAAAAGTTGCCATCTTTGCTTTGTTGCTAGGAAGCTAGAAGTAAATTTGCAGCCTACCTCTAAAGGCATGCAGTTTTTGAGTAATAAGCTTACTTCTGACTTCATTGCATATGTCCACTCTTACGTGTTTTGAATTATTTAGTATGTATGTCTGTAAGCTACTTCTAATCCTTTTTTTTTTTTTTTTTGGAAAGAAGCAAGAATACATACATACATAAATGAAATTGATTGATTGCAGAACTTCAAATACTCTAAAATTTATTTCCAGCAGTGGTGGTGTGGCGCTGTCTGTTTCTAAAATCCCATAGGATTTCTTCCTTGTTCCTGGGTTAGTCTTGGGGGTGTTTGGGAGTTCTCTCACCCCCAAGAGGAAACTTGAAGTAAATGTCTTCGGACATTTTCGTAGGCCCCTCTTTGCAATTGCTGGTGATAATGGTGAGTTACAATCCTGTCGGTAACAAGCAATGACCGAGGCACAAAACCGTTGCACTCCCTTTGATAGGGAAGTCTTGGTAGGGTTGGTCTGAGGAGCAGTGATGATTCTATCAAAATAGGAAAAGCAAAAGCCCTCTTGAAATCTGGCCTGAAGGGAGTATGAAAACCTCGGCTGCCTTTTACTAATATGGGACATTTTCTCTTCCTCCCTTTCCAACTAGAAAGAATTAAATTTAGTTTGGATGATTTATTTAAAATAAAATATTTGAAGTGAGCTGAACAAACTTTATAAAGCTTTCGTACAAGTGCTGTTTCTTGCCAAACTATGAGGCTGTAGCCTAAAGCAAGCTCGTGTGGCTGGGCCGAGCCTCACGTGACCTCGAGTTAGGTGCCAAGAGGCCACTCGCCTGTTGTTCATGGAGCATTTGGTGTACGTGAAATGTTATTTTACTGTGTGTTGGCAAATAGGAGGTGGAATCTTGAACTAAACACCCAACCGAGGTCTGAATCAGATATATCCTGTGCTGGCAGAATATCTGTTTTCAGACATGTAAATAATATTTTGTGTCAAAGTTTTCACTGATAAGAGAGGTGTGTGTGTGGGGGGGGGGTGGGATGTGTGTGGAAAGGGAGGCAGAAGAGGAGA